AGCCTCCCATGGTCACACTTTCGGTGCCCACCCCTGCTTCCGGCTCGGTGAGGGCCTCAGGGAGCACGACCGCGACATTGTGAGCCACCGCCAGAGGGGTTCGTATGTTGCTGTAGCTTGCGGTTCCACTGATGCATGTGTTCGAGCAGCATGGAGCAGTGGCCGCGTCTGTTGCCTGCAGGTTCGCGCTGCGACGAAGAAGCGCAATAGGTTGCGGCTCCAGTGATGCATGTGTTCGAGCAGCATCGAGCAGTGGAAGCGTCTGTTGCCTGCAGGTTCGTGCTGAGACGAAGAAGCGCAAGGCTCCCGCACCTGTAATCCCTCGCGCGCTCCCCCTCCTTCAGCCGGGGTCGGCGGATATATAAATGAAACGAATATGTGACGAGTGTTGATTTCTTTGCGAGACACTTGCTCATCCAAAGCGTCCAACGATCTAATCAATAGAAATGTCAGGCACAACTGCTCTATGGCAGGGACCTCCACACCGCCTTGCAGGCGACGGACATGGCTTGAAAGCTTTTCGCTACCACCCCAAAAACATAATCATCTATAATCAAACCTTTGCCTCTATGAAACTTGAGGGGTCAAGCCCTCCTGCAAACGAGATGTAGATACCAGTGGGTGGGATAATGTGGATTGGTCATTTCAAAAAAAAAAATATATATATATATATCGAGAAAACCTGCTTGTTGTAGTGTGTGTGTGTGTGCACATGTTTCTTTTGTTGAGTTGTGTGATGGATTGTGAACAGCAAGAGGTCACATGAAAAAAAGGATTTGAAGGAAAGCAACAGGAAATGAAGTGGAATTAGATTGAATTACCTAAAACAGTTTCCACATACAAATGAAGTCGTCAACTTTCTATAACATAAAAATTTAAGAAAAGCATGCCTGGAAATTCACTGATTCATTGAATCAGAGCAAAACAGTAGACAAATTGACCATAGGGCACCTCGTTTTATACTCTCAAGTTGGGTAGGCTACCTCAAATTGTACACCTGGTTCACCAGTATTTATATATAATGACTGGAAAGCCTCACTGCGAAAGGTAAGGTTGACGCAAGTGAAATGTGATGTCCTTGTAAACCAGGGAAAGCACGGAGAACATTAAAAGCATGAAGAGCCACACACCCAAGGCAGCGTCCCATTTCGCCTTTCGCTTTTTCGAGTCCTCTGTGGAGCACTTCGGCAGACGGGGAGAGACGGGGAGTGGGAGGAAGGATGAGAAACGGGCGATCTGGGTGAGAAAGATGGAGAAAGTGTATGAAACAGTTCGGGTTGGAGGCCATTGCTTGCTACTAGTAACAAGTGCATCGCTTCTAGTAACAAGTGCCTTACTAGTAGTAACAAGGACGCTACTAGTAACAAGCGCATCGACTGAGAGTGGCAGACATGTTGCGAATCGAAAGCCCGAGCTCAAAGAGTCGGGATGATGCGTTGACACGTGAGTTGAAGGTGGATGCTTCGTGTTCGTCGACACGATGGGTTTGGTACCGAAAAAAGGGGGGTCCGTCCATCGAAAAGTATGGTGTGCACAAGCTGTTGGCCGCAAGGAGCTGAAGAGAACATCCAGGGTGATTTGCAGGCTACTAGGAGCAAGGACGCTACGAACGGGGCTCCTGGCCATACTACTAGGAGCAAGAAACTACTAGGGGCTCCTGGCATCGCTATTAGGAGCAAGGACGCTACGAACGGGGATGATCCCTCTCCAGGTTGGCTAACGGCTTTGCCCAAGAGTTGCACTGCAAAATGATCAAGGAGTGCTTGGTGGGAGCGCGTTGAACTGACACGCCATCCTCACGCCTCTTTATCTTGGCAAACTGATCTTCGCCCGCTACCGGCATGTAGCTGCGTCACAAGCTCAACAGATTCCGTGCTGAACCACGGCCCCGAGATGAATAGCTTCTTGCACATCCGAACTCTAGTCCATTCTAGTTCTAGTCCCATGAAAATTACAAGGGGCTACAGCTGGCTACAGCTCCCAGGCGCGTCAACGGTCATGCCAAGACCAGGGGTTCTTCATGGTCTACAGTTCGACACTTGTTGAAAAAGCTGGTAATCCATTGAGGCAACACTGCTGTGGGTTCTGAATTGGGGTTGTTAGGTCCGATCCCAAAGCATTGGCACAGGAGCCTCCGGAAGATGAAGCTGCAGATGCCAAACTCACCAAGAAGGAGAAATTAGGGGAGGTTTCTTTGTGATTATTCTACTTAGTGTTTGCTAAGAGGGGTGGGTATTTAGTACAGTACGGCAGTACAGCAACTAAGAAGCATGAAGAAGCAAGCCAAGCAGTAATGGAAGCTAGTACGTGCGTACTCGAACACACAGTTCTTCGCTTCCAAAGATAGACAAACTAGGTCAGGTGGGATTGAGGCGTTTGCCACAAGAGGCATTCTATAGTGATCAGCTGGGATTGAGCGTGTTGGGATGATTCAAGCCCAGTCATGTGATGACTAATCCACTCCCGCTTGCCTCAAATCTGCCTTACGTCACCTCAGATCCTGAATATGAGGAGCTATAGTAGGAACCATGTTGATCATTCTAAACGTTCACCATCCACTAAACATTTGGTGTGAATAGTTGCGGTTGATGTTGAAAAATTGATTCACCATTGTGATCCCCTGCCCAGTCGTCAAACAGGTTCAGACATGTTCAGACTCCTGCCCCTTTCGCGGAAGGAAGAGAGGGATCCGTTCCAATTGGTGCCAATCTTTGGGTTGCCTGTCCGATTGGCCGACTGGGCATATCCCAACAACTGGTCCTGGCTGTCTCCTAACTTGGCTGAGATCTTCAAACGTGCCGAACAAGGTGGCCTGGTTTGGAGCAGCACCTGCACTTGGGTGGGGCATGCCGATGTCTTCAGCAGACCTCAAGTGTCCTTTTTCAATTTGATTCGATTGGAGGATGATTTGGAGGAGCATGGTTATCAGATCTTCACCCTTCCAATCTTGGCATTACATTGTCAGCTGGCCGATGCCTTCCCTAGTCCAGTGAAAGAAGCCGTGGCCTGTACTGCCAAGTTGCGCTTGGCGCGCATGGCTGCGGAATGCCGCTTGCGGAGTGCCTTTTCCACCTTGCGAGAGGAAGTGGTCAAGGAGCTTCAAAGCATTCCGGAGACCTTCGAGTCCTTCAAGGAGGCCCTTCAGCGGAGGTTCCTTTCTTTTCTTTATGATTTTCATGCATCTATAGACTATAGACCTTTCTCAAAGCTTTCAAGGGTTGCTGATAAAAGGCTCATCTACCTCAAGTGTTGCACAGCTACACCGGTCAGGAGTTGGAGTCGGTCAGGAGCAAGCGGGCTGGGCGAAAGGGTGCAGATGACGTGGATCCTGCCTGGATGAGCGTGGAAGGAAACACTGGACCACGGAAAGTCGCGAGTCCTTGGCAGATTGGGGACCTGTATGCCTATCAAGTTTGGGCCGAGCTCAGCAAGGAGGGAACAGATGTGTTTGCGTTGGGGTATTTGTGCTGATGTTTTCTTACTATGGGCTTCATCCAGTCAAGACTCAAACAGTCAACGCATCCCTTATCTAACGTTCAGATCAATGGATGGAAACGCCCCGCAATCAGGAGTGTTTGCTCCACGCAGAGCTTTGGATGGCCTGCACCTTGACCAAAGAGGCGGAGCGCCATGCCAAGGTCCATGGAGATGGCCGTACGCTGAGGGACTTGGCATTGACCAAAGCGAAGATCGCCATGGAGGAGCCACGTTAAAACCGGATGACAGGGACAAGTGGAAGGATTTGGGATGAGACCAACCTGGTAAGTGGTTTTTGGATGTGTTTGGTCGGTTTGGTGAATAAGTACGCTTACCATGATGGTCACACTGTGAATGAAGGTCACGAGTGCAGCCAGTCTGATACATCTAGACATTTGTAGAGGAAGGTAAAGTCAAGGCAACGGTGTCATTTACAACGACATGACGCTGGATCCAGAAGAACTAGGAAATCGAAAAGTCGTGAACAGTCTTATGATCAAACCTCAAGTCTTCCCTGCCAACTATTGATACGTACCTTCCATACATCTTCCATACCTTACGCCTGCACCCCAAATACTAGCGATGCCCTCCAACCTAATAGCAATGGCCTCCACCCTACTTGCGATG